AAATATTTGAACACCTTGTCTTAAAATATTTTATTTATCATGTTAAAATAAAACATTCCATAATCAATTTCTTTTCTTTTCTTTTCTTTTTTCAATTTTTCCAATTTTTTGGAAAAAAACAAAAAAGCTTCAGGGAAAAAAATGGGGAAAAAACGGTTTTTCCCCGAGTTTTTCCGGTTTTTTTCTGGGCCTTCACATCTCTAGATTAGAATACCCCAAAGTAGTCCGCAGAGCCAGAAGGGGACCAGCAATGAACTGAAGAGGGTAGGCAGCATGTCTTCCCTGCCACCATTTTCAACTCTCCCCTCAACCTGAAACAGCCCTGGGGAGCCACAGTTATACACTTTCCTCTGCTTACACCATGGTCCCATCCAACCTGTGCATCTAAAAACTGAATTTAAAAAATACTGAGAAATCCAATCATGGACCTCTGAGTGTCTCATTTGGTTTAGCCCAATGTTAGAAATACAGAGACAACTAAATCATGAGTGTGGACTGGGACCAGAATGTTAAGACGGTTTTTAGAAGCTGATATTTGGTCTCCATTTCATTTCGCCCCCTGAGCTGCTGCTTTGCGATCTGATAGGTTTTTTTCCCAAACTTTCTTGTACAAGCAAGAAGTCTCGAAGCTTTTTTTCTTAAAAAGATAGCAAATTAAGGTATTCATGATTCTGATGGCAGAGCAAGCCAAGGAAAGAATATTACTCACGATGGAAACTAAAGGAAAAATCCTACTCTATCCCAGAAGTCCACAGCAATATTTTGAATGGTGGTGTCCACATTGCCATTTTAAAAGCTACATCAGTGATGTCCTATAGTACTACATCAAAATCTAGTAAATGCTCTGACCAGCAGTTACTTTGGCCTTAAACATACTATATGTTGCTTGGAGCTTCCCATTACCTTACTTTTAGCCAGCCTTAAAGACCAATGGTGCTGTGTTACTTCTAAAACTATTGCATTCTTATGGGGACCATAATTTCCAGCTTGCTGTAGAACCAGAGGTGACAGTTTCTCTATGCGCCACCATGTATAAAGTATCTTTTTTTAATAGCACTTACATGGGTCTGACTCCCAGTCATCGTTGCTCTTTTTAATTCCATGTCTGCCCATGCTTGCAATAAATCTCACATATGTCCATGAGAGTGAGAAAGAGAATATGGCCATTCAGTTATCTTTTGCACTTTAGTGATGGCATAATTGCAAGAATCATACTAACGGAATGCCAGGAATCAATAAGATTCCCAATTCATGCATCCACATAACACAAAAGGAGAACAAACAATTGTGTCACTCACCACTTATGCTGGCGTTTGATCCAGAGCATGGGGTTGGATGCAAAGGCATCCTCCTGCTTATGGAAGGAAAACTCTGGGATCAACCCATTCTAAGTTATACGTTCTATCTGGTGGACAAAGTAATATAAGCCAGGGCTCTTTTTGTAGAAAAAGCCCAGCAGGAACTCATTAGCATAATAGACCACACCCAACAGCAGACTCATTAGCGTATTAGGCCACACCCATGACGACACAGCTCATTAGCATTCATTAGCGTATTAGGCCACACCCCTGACAGTACAGCTCATTTGCATATTAGGCCACCCCCCCATGTTACCAGAAGTGTAGTCATCCAGCCACACCCACCTTTTGCTTCTTATTCTCTTTACCTTGTTTGTTGTCAAAACCCAGGGCTTTTTGCATGTTAGGTCACACACCCCTAATTGTAGCCAATCCGAATGAGTTTCTGCTGTTGGGTGTGGCCTATTATGCTAATGAGTTCCTGCTGGGTGTGGCCAACTCGGGAGCCAGCCGGAACTCCGTTCCTGTGCGTTCCTGCCCCAAAAATAGCCCTGTAAGTTACAACTTTTGTGTAAACTACCCCAATAACCTGAGGCAATACATGTTTGCTCAGAAGTGCTGGTTAAAGATAACGGGGCTTACTGCCAAGTAGGTGCACAAGGCTGCAGCCTAAGAAAGATGTCCTGTTTATAACTCAAAACTCATTGAATAATATGATGGTCCCCACCCAGTGGAAATAATGTATAACAGTCTAGAATATATATATCCATCTGCTTTGCAGATCCTCCAGTTAACACGCAAGTGATCCCACAAAGGGGGAAACAAAGACTCAAGCAACAATCCAGCTACAAAGGAGTGGTAAGTGAAAGTTGTGTACTTTTATTTCAATGCATCAAGCACAAACAAGGTTTCCCTTTCCAAGGGAACATCACGAGGAATGTAGTTAAAAATCTGGAAACATTTACACTGAAAGTTAGCCAGACCGGCACCACCACTAAATATTTTAAGGCTGTTTATGTGTGTGTGTGTGTGTATACACACACACACATATACATATATAAAATCTTTTTAATATACATATATATTATATATATATTATATATATATAATATATATATCAGTACTTACCACTTGGGACTACTTCAGGCCAGAAAAGAAAGGCTTAGTACTGGCTGCAAGTCTACATAAAATATTGCAAATCTTTTAAAAATGGTGTAAAAATAGGAAGACTATCAACAGATTCAGAGGATGCAGTGGCAAACCCTTACTATTCCTGACCTTTAACCTTTAAATGTACCTAAGAGCAAACGCCACACACAGGGTACCTTCACACAATCACAGGATCAGCCCTAGACAGGGGTGGGGCTTTCTATGCGATGAGGAAGCAGGCACTCCTCAAAAATAAAACACAGGGAAGCTGAACCGATTGGGTGCAAGTAATCACTTTGGAAACAAACCTGGGACGGTTGCTCGTGCCTGCTCGTGCAGCTACCCTGTACTTATTACAAACTCTCCTAAAGTCAACAGAAGCAACCTAGTGCACCCCAGTGCAGTTGTGTTCATAACATATGAAATATATGAAATCCCCTATATACAGAAGTGTTTAAACAGCCATCTTCTTTAACCCATCTTGGAAAAATGGTACATTTCAGAGGCATTCCTTTATACAATGGTTGTGGTTACATGTTTTACTCAATGTATATTCAACTCTCTCCATAGTCAACTCTCTCTGTAGGTACTTTTTTTAAAAATCTGGTTCATGAACAAGCATGTTTGACCCTATAGATTAGGACATTACTGGCGGTGTTTGGGAGACTTCGTATTCCCTAAAAGAGGCAAGCTTTAGGAAACTGTGCATATTTACAATCTCTGGGAAATGGAATACAATGAATTGGTCATGTGGGTCTGGCGTGAGAGAGCACTGACCTTAAGATCCAAGGAGAAGCTGTGATATCTATGGCCGGGTGGCTTAATTTTCAAGATGGCTGCCCGGTGCTCTCTTATGTGAAAGTTCAGCAGTCATCTTGATGCCAAAATACCCCCCACCCCCACCCACAGAAGAGCTATAAAACAAGCCACTGGGAACCATTGTACAAAACCAAGTAGATGTGGTATAGTGGTACAGGGGGCACCAATACTGGTTGGTAAATTTTTAAATTGCATCAGAAAAAGGACAAGACATAGAAAAACAACATTGCACAATTAAAGCTACATTTGGCTTTAGCATTAAGGCCCATACAGGTAAAGAGGTCCTTGTAGATGTACATGTAAAAAGGCGATGACGTAATCTGACAAACAAAATTTGTAGGTTCCCTGGTTAATCTTGTTTCTTTCTTCCTTCTGCCCCCCCCGTGCTGCGTAGGTATTAAAGTGCTTGGTGCCTCAGGTGGGGCTCCTTGCCTTTCTGCCTCCCCATCTCAGCAGCTGGTCACGTTTATTGCTGCCAAATGCAGTGCCTTTATTTGAACACGTAATTAATGAAGAGCTGACATGTTAGAAAGACGCAAAGGAGAAACCAACAGCGAGAGTCCAGGAAGAGGTTTTCAGACGAAGCCCTCTTGTAGAGAGACTTTCTGTTCAGCGCAGTGAGGTTTCTGCAACAACAAGAAGTCAAGCAACTAGTTTTTAATAAGGAATCGCATTCTCTGACCCATCCATCCGACAGAGAGAAAACTCGGGATTGACCCAAGTTTGTTTTACATGCCACTACTGAATCAAATATTCTGGCTACACACAGGTCTTTAACAGGGGTCATTTCCTGCAGGAGCACACAGGAGTGGCCTCCTCCTGGATGGTATACAAGGCGGGATTGACCCAAGTTTGTTTTACATGCCACTACTGAATCAAATATTCTGGCTACACACAGGTCTTTAAGATGATCTATCTACCCAGTGTGTTTTTAATCCTGTCCTCCTCCTGGATGGTATACATGGCTCTCCCTCCCCATTTTATACAAAAAACCACATGACACAGAGTGGCTAGCCCAGGGTTACCTAGCAAACATCACGGCCATGCAGGGATTTGATCCTGAGCCGCTCTAACCACTGCATCATACTTCTACCCTTCTTATATATTGGTTGCTTGCTGACTGTCTAGGACACATAGCATCTGCAGGCCCCCCAGCTTTCTAGTTTTAAATCGATCAGATCTACCCATGTTTCCGATGATTAAGCCGAAAAGGCAAGAACTGAACTGTTAAAGTAAGACAGTAAAGTATATGCTTGGTACGAGCAGGGGTCATTTCCTACAGGAGAGCACAGGAGCGGAGCTCCGGCAGTAAAGAGCCCAGGGGGCGGGCACATGCAACAAGCCCCACCCCCTGCTCCCAGAAGCCCTCAGTCAGAGCAAGAAGCAGTTAGGTAAGCTGCAGAGGCCCCCCCCCAGCCCAAAACAGTCCAGTGGCACCTTTAAGACCAAGTTTTATTCAGGTACAAGCTCTACCTCCTCTGCGAGGACAGA